ATTTCCCACGCTCCTCAGGAGATGAAAGAAAATATTTTTCTCCCTGAGCCTGGCCTTCATAATTTCATTCCATCACACTACCACTTTTTCAGTGCTATCATAAGTTTGAATGGTTGCTGAAAGAGTGGTTATTAAACGAGGACCACCTGCACATTGATAAATCATTATAAAGTGGAACAGGTAGAAACCAACAATAGGAATTTCAACAGGGACAAATACAAAGTCCTACATTTGAATAAGAAAAGCCAAAGGCATGAGTATAGGACTGCAGGGAGAAATCATATTGGGCATCGGTATGTGCAGAAAAGATACAGGTGTCTTGGTGGATCACAAGTATCATAGTATCAAAATCAAGAGAAGTTACTGTTCCTCTCTTATTCTGCATTTCTCAAACTATACAGCTCTGGGCGACTTATTTAGAAAGGACACTGACAAATTGTATCCAGAAGACATCAGCCAAAATGGTAGGAGCAACATTTGGAGGTTGTTGGGTATATTTAGCATGGAGAAGATTGCAGAAGACAGGAAAGCAGTCAGCAAGTATTTGAAAGGCTGTCATGCAGAAAATTCAGCAGAATTATTCAAGAGACAGGACAAGAAATAGTTTAAATTACAAGGAAGATTTTGGTTGGCCATTAGGAAGAATTACCTAACAGTAACAGCTGTTCAATAAAGGAACAGACTGTCTTGGGAGGTGATGGATTCTCCTTTCCTGGAGAGCAGATGCTGGATGACTATCAGGGATGCTGTAAAATTGGATTCCTGTGCAGCAAAGGTAGCTATACTAGGAGATCGCCAAGGTTCCATCCAACTCTTATGTTCCAGGATTCTACTTGCTGTCTCCAGCTGAAACTAATCCTGGCAATTCCACCCCCTCCCAATGAATAAATCCCTACAACATATACTTAAGAATGTATGCGCATAATTATAAAGTTTAAGCACTGTCCAACTCTAACTGACTTTGGGTGGCTCACAATATATTACCATAAAAAGCCCAATACAAACCAAAACAAGGTGGGATGCAGTCACTATGTACAGACGTAAAATAACAAAGACACACCCAACAAAGGGCCCCATCCATCTCAACTCAAGGCCTGGGAGAACAACTAGGTCTTCAAGGCTTTATGGAACACCAACAGGGTGGGAGCCACATAGATTTCAGGGGGATTTCATTGCAAAGGGCAGACACTGCAACTCAAAAGGGATGCTACCTGGGTCCCAATAGACGGCATTGTTTAACTGACAGGAGATCAAGGAGCATTAGGATGGATGTACCACCTCCACCTCAATCCCAATTCTGTCACAGTCATCAACAAGTGCAAGTGCAAGGCTGTCTCAGTACTGAATCCTCACCTGAAACCCCATTGAAATGGGTCTAGATAATCTGCTTCCTTCTCTGCAACTATAAACCATCTTCTTAACTTTTCCCAAAAAGAGAAAGTTGGAGACAGGACAGTAGTTGTCTAAAATCATTGAGTCCAAGAGTGGCCTTTTGAGGAGAGGGCATACCACCCCCTCTCTCAACGAGGCCAACACCACAGCATGGGCCCAACTACAGGTCACCTCCCTGGCTGCCTTAATAACCCAGGAGGGTTTTGGGTCCAGTAAACAGGTGGCTGAACTAACAGAGCAGAAAACCCTGTCCAGTTCCTCAGATGCCACCAACAAAAACTCATCTAAAATCATATCACAAGACTGAGCCCCACACACCTTAGTCAGACCTGCCCAGTCGGAATCCAGCTTGAAGCGGACCTGAACAATCCTATTTGCCAAATTGCCCGGATACTCTTCCCACCAGCCCTGCAGATGATCCAGTGGCCTATCCCTCCCCAGCAGCGACCGGGTCACCCTAACAAGGCTGCTGGACAGCTACTGGCAGATGCAATAACGGTGAAGAAATACTGATGCTTCAATGCCCTTATTGCCATGAGGTAAGAATCTTTATAACTTTATAATATGGCAATCAGTTCCTCTCACATAAAGAAACATTCAAGTGCATGCTTTGAATCTCATGCACAGATGCTGCTGTCTCTTAGCATAAACATAAGAAATGGTGAGCGGGAGAATGGAGGTGGGAAAAGGGGCAGCAGCACAAGGAAAGGAAAGTCGCAAGGCAATGGCAATGAGCTAAACAGAGAAGGTGAATGGGCAGGGAAGGAAGAATAGAGAAGGCCTGCTTACTCATTACAAAACAACATTTCCTAGCAGCCGTGATCTTCCCAAATTGAGAATCTAAGGTAACTCTCTTAGGTTCTAGATAATAATTTGGGAAAAAAAGGAGAGAAAAAAAAATGATTTTCAATGTTTTTCATGTTTACTCTCTTAGGTTCTAGATAATAATTTGGGAAAAAAAGGAGAGAAAAAAAAATGATTTTCAATGTTTTTCATGTTTACTCTCTTAGGTTCTAGATAATAATTTGGGAAAAAAAGGAGAGAAAAAAAAATGATTTTCAATGTTTTTCATGTTTTCTCAAAAACTACACACAGAAAAGGAAGACCTTTTAAAATTTCTATTATTAATACATTTGATCCTC